CAAGTGACACAGCAGAACAGAAAAGGACGTGACAGGCAGTTCACAAAATAAAAGTGAAAACAGCAAAGTAAAGCACAGGTATATGCTCAACCTCGGGCACAAGAAGGAAACGTGCATTCACAAATCAAGGAAATGTATTTTTTTTTCCCTGTCAAGTCAGTAAGATTTCGAGGATTGATACTAACCCATGTTGGCAAGAACACAAGGATAGATGTGTTCTTTCACCTTGTGGTGTGACTAGAAACTTGTTCTGCCCTTGGGCCTATGAAATAAAAAAAAAAAAATGGAAATGTTCTTTACCATGGCAAACTCACTTCTGTTTATCCCAGAGAAATACTTACAGTAAGTACAAACAGACCCCCACCAGGACAAGTCTGGCAGTTTTGTTTTTAGGAAACAAAGTATCCCTTACCCAGGACACTTGCACAAGCAGCAATCCCTCCAAACTAGGAAAAAGTAGGCAGACACTAAGAGTAAGGAGAGGACTGTGTTCAGAAGAGGAAGGCAGGTGTCACGTGATGGGATCCACAAGGATGGAGCAAAACAAAGCCCGAACAGCCTTCAGCGGGGCCACATGGAGTAGAGCAATTTTCAACACAGCAGTTTTGCTTTCCCAGGAAGATTCAGTAAAACTCCGGGGCCATCCTGATTTATCGCAATTAGGCACCAGGAGGTACTCTCATTTCCCCGTGTGGATCAATGACTCTGTCTTTCTGTGCTTACTTCCCTTCTCTTCCCTTTTCCTACCCCTCTGCCCTGCACAGCTCTACACTGCGTAGGGAAAAGTACAGAGCCTAGGGTAATGGACCCCTGCAGCCTTCAGAAGCCATCACAGGGAAGAGGATGAAAGAAAAGTTGAGAAGCGCAAAGCCTCAAGTGGAAAACACCTCCTCTTCTACAGCTCCTGAAGGCCGCGCCGCCTGTGATCCATTATTGATAGCAAGAATGGATTTCTCTGTTCTCTCTCTCACACACACACACACATGCTCAGCCAGGCTAAACCTTTAAAATAACTTTTGGGTAGCAGGGTCCCTGTCCCCTTTTGTGGGTGCTCGCTAAGCTAGTCTTCTGGGGGACTACCTTTCCTACCAGCCAGTGGGGGGCAAGAAGCTATTCCACAAGAAAGGCTTGGCTGAAACAAAGAGGACCTCACTCTCTGCAAATGGAAACTGTCCCAGAGACCGGGCCAGATGGCTCAGTCCCACACAGACAGTAACTTCGGCTGCGCTTTCACCGGAGAGAAAGAGAGACTTAAGGGCTGATGTACTATTCCATGCCAACTGAGTGGCTGAAATCGTTGCTCAAGAAACAGACAGGTGGATTGTTTTACGGTCTAACTGGATTGGATATCAATACCAAACAAGATCTCAAACTTGGCGGGAAGGTGGACTATTGGGGAGAGTCAGATCAAACACTTGCAAAGACATAAACTTGACATTTCTTGATGAACATAAATGTCAAATGGTTAGAAAATCCTACTGTGTCCATGAAAAGGCTGGCGAGAGTAAGCAAGGCTAGGAGAAGCAGACAGCATTCCCTTTTGTTCCCATCCCATTGGTTGCTGCTTCCTGCTCCTGTGTGGCAAGCTCCTGCTGGCAGCCAAGCATGGCAGCCCAGCAGCTAAGAAGTACTCACAGATGAGAACTTCTCTGGATGCCAGTTATTTCCATTCTGAAAACTGCTGCCACCTCTGACTTGCGCTGGTGGGTGGAGCCTGCCTCAAATTCCTCAGGACACCGGCATGCAATCCTTTCTGTGTGTGTGTGTGTGTGTGTGTGTGTGTGTGTGTGTGTGTGTGTGTGTGTGTGTGTGTGTGTGTGTGTG